CCCCTGGCATCCCAAGACCGAACCATTGTGTGCCCGGTGAAGCTTATTATAATAGTATTTAAACATGTGTATTATAACGGTTAGTGCACGTGTTTGAATAATAATATAATAATATTCAAACACGTTTATTATAAAGGTTAATACACATGTTTAAATGTGGTAATGTTTAGGCATGTGTATTTATAGTTATGATACAAAATGAATACCCTGCCGCAAAATAGACGGTTCTAAATCGCCCACGACTCAAGCACATGTGCTTCTCGTTCGTTCGTGACGTTGTGCACTGGCCGTGAGAGCGAGTAATCGTCTGTAAATCGTATGCAACGAAGATACAGAATATCAGTTATAAAATCAATTTAGCATTTGATTTTAATACATGACGAGTTATTCTTTGTTCCTAAATTCTGTCCACTAAATATTCATTGCTCGATTCGGAGGCCCTATAAAATAGAGATTTACTACTCTCTGAGCCTAGATTGAAATACATCAGCTGTAAGCTGTAGAATAGCCCCTGGATAGCCGGGAATGTGAGTCAACAATGCTGTTGTACGCCACACGATCATAAAATAAATAGAATAAAGGCTAGAAAGAATCGTATTCTTATATTTATTTAGGCCAGCATAAACACCAATACACCATGTCATTTCCAATATATATGTGTATTGAAAATGACCAAAATTACCATCTTTGTTTTTTGAGAACTAATAAAATATTGATGCATCTTTCTGGCTATAGTATTCTCCCGATGCCAAGTCACGGTTTTATGTTCGTGAAAAAAGTAAAGTAAATCCACAGACGTACAGCTACTGTCTTTTTTCATTATGGTCGGATTTTGGTTTAAAACATTTTATGTTTTAAATAATAACATTACCCTTACAAAAATGTCCAATAGGATCCTATAAGAGAAAATCTTATAGGAATATTATAGATTTTTCGTCACATCTATAGGATCCTATAGGATTATTTCAATAGATATCCTTTAGGTATCCTATAGGAATCATATAGGAGTCGTATAAGTATTCTATAGGAATTTTAATATGTTTCCTATAAGATTCTTAAAGAAATCTTACAGGAAAACTGCAAGATTTTTAAATGAAACAAATAGGAATCTTATAGTTATCCTATAGAAATCCTATAGAATGCCTAAAGGAATCTCATAGATTTTCTGAAGGAACCTTATAGGAATCTTATATGAATTATATAGGTATCTTATAGGAATCCTATGGGTTTCTTATATGAAATCTATAGGAATCATAGATATCTTATTTGAATCTTATAGGAGCCTTATATGAATGATATAGAAAAGTTATAGATATCTTATAGAAATGTTATAGGAGTCTTATATGAATTATATAGGAATCCTGTAGATATTTTATAGGAATCTTATAGATATTTTATAGGAATTTTACAGATTTCCTTCTGGGATCATATAGGCGTCTTATAAGAATCCTTTAGTAATCCTAAAGTTATCTTAAAGAAGTCCTATAGATTTCCTAAAGGAATCTTATAGAAGTCTTATATGAATAATACAGGGTTCCTATAGATATCCTATACGAATCCTATATGGTTTCCATAAGATTCGTATGGGTGTCTTATAAGAATTATATAGGAATCCTATAAGTATTATTTTTATTCTATTGATTTCCTAAAGGAATCGTATAGATGTCTTGCAGGAATCCTCTGTGAATGCTTTAGTTGTCTCATAAGATTCTTATAAGAAAGCTGTATATAATGATTTATAACAGATTCATATAAATTTCTTATTTTTGTAAATATATACTGTTTGTTAATGTTAATGCAAGCAATGATTGCTTAGTAAGTTGTTATTGACGGGTTAGCTGGTTGTTGACATCCGTTGGTTCCACAATATTGTTTGCATGCACAGGCAGTATTGAATGACTGATGCGTTTAATTTCGAGCTGGAGTGGCTACTGGACGGAAAAATAATAATGGCTTAAACAACTCCTGAAAACATACAAAATACACTGAGTTCAAGATATACAAACCATGATTTCTTTAATTAAAAACATCAACTATGCATAAACTGCATACCCCTTCACATAATATTGTTCGTCTTAAGCCTTACTGATGCACATACCTCAAACTCCAGCAATACCTAAATGCTTTACAGTCTTCAAATCAGTTTTTTTTTCTGTAATTTATAATAAGGCGTCAACTAGAGTTTATTATACAAAACCCTGTTCAAGAATCTGTCGCGTTACAGGTGTGTATAAACCAGATATTTTCTGTATGATATTGAAACTGGAGCTGTCTATATCCGTGCTTTTTCTTGTCCAATGGTAGCAGAGTAAATTTGAAATCTTGCTGAAAGATGCCATTGTAGATTCTGCAGAGTGACCAAACTAAGTTTGAAATATTGAATCAAGATGGCTTCGGATTTTTACCCTTGCTTCACATGCTGAAAGATATAACAAAACAATTCTTTAAATCAGAGCAAAGTGATACATACAGTTGTCTTGTGCATTTTGAAACTATTTTTTGAAAAAAAAAGTGAGTCATGAAAAATCATAATAATACATACACTAGGTCAAAATAAAGAATTGAGGGGCTGGGCAAAATAACCAAGAACTGACAGTTGCAATATGATTAATGCTCTAATTGTTTTAAAATTTTAAATCATAATAATTAAACAGATTTTGCCGTTTGTGTCTTTAAGGCAAGTAATTAATTAGTATTGAAAATGTATCTTAAAATTTTCTACCCACATTTTAAATTTTGTATTTTCCTTCAACATGAATGTATTAAAATAAGAGTATGATATGTGGTAGCTGAAATAAGAGACTAACACACTTCTTAATCATAAGTCGGTTAATTACTGTAGTTGTTCCATCCTTTTTTCTTAGTTTTAAAAGCATTAAAATATTGTGCAATATACTTACAATGTTAATATCCTTTATGCAGTAGGCCTTACACACATTATTAATTAATTGATAACCTCCACCATTAGTATAGTGAGTTCCTATATTTAAAGTGTTAAAAACTTGAAACTTAAAAAAAAATCATTCACCTTTGAAAGTCCTCTTTCTCCGACTGCCGCATTAAGACTTTAAACAAACATCAACGCTTTCTTACTTCATGAGTTTTCACTGAGAAAAATTCCTTTACCAACAAATTCTGAAAGAAAGTCAACGTATAATGATTTTTTGATATTTTGTTTTGCAAACCCACTGTTGACGAAAATAAGGATTTAAAATAAAAATAAAATTTATTTTTGATTAGTTAGCTCACCTGCTGCCGTGAATTGGAAATTGAGAAAAAAAAATGGTTTATTCTGTTCTGCAACATCATAGGCCTACAATAGCCTATAGAGGCTTATGCCTACCTCTATAAAAATCATTAAAATAATCATATCATGGACTTTTACAATAATAAATAAGAGAGAACACGGCCCAATTTACCACACTCCAATACTTCCATTATATAGGGCAGCTCTTTGGCATATCCTCAGTTCTGTCTTTTCTTATTAACAGGCCTAGGCTAGACTCCCTTGCTTGTTATCCCCTAGGCCTAGGCTCCTAATCCTATGCCTAGAGATCCAATCCAAACCAATTCAATTTTTGACTTAAAAGACGCATTATACTCAGCCTAAATGCGCCAATTTAAACAACATTAAATGAATATTAATATATAAACAATTCTTACCTATTGGTACTGCTGAAATACTTAAGAAAGTATGGTTATGCCTGTTTTATCATCATGAATGTGCACTGAGAAAGAGCTCTAATTCACTAACAAATTTCTGATAACATTCAAAAAAGCACCTTTGTTAATTTCCATGGCCTTCAGTGATAAACATGGATAAAGTGACCAATCACATTGGTGATTTGAGGTTATCCATGGTTGGCTGAAGAGCTTAAATGACAACATCTGTTAATTGTTATCTTGTAACTTGTGTTTTAAAGTCGTATGTTTTATTATACACGATTTAGTATAGGCCTAGAATTTGGCTATGTATTGTTTATACTGCCAGGATTTCATAATATAAATTTTTTTTTATTATTTCAGCAGAACAGGGAAACAGGGAAAATCTCCCAAAAAATTTGACAATTTAGAGGTTTCAAAGGCTTAGAAATAATGTCAAAAGTAGGCCTACATATGTATTTTTTCTCGCCGACAAATATTGTTTTTATCAAAGAGCCCAAAACACACGTGCACATAATGATAATCCATCAAAGTTTTCTCCATACTGAAACTCACGGCGTATTGTTGCCAACATAAAATTTTTGAGATATCTCGTAATTACGAGATAATTATCTCGTTATAACGAGATATCTCGTAATAACGAGATAATATCTCGTAATAACGAGATAATATCTCGTAATAACGAGATTATCTCGTAATAACGAGATAATATCTCGTAATAACGAGATAATATCTCGTAATAACGAGATTATCTCGTTATTACGAGATATTATCTCGTAGATAATTAGAAACAAGCTTATTACGAGTTAATAGCTGGTCGTTTGTCACGAAAATATTTTCTCTAAGAAGACAAAATTTTAACAACTGAGGGCCCAAGATCGTCGGAAAAGTACCCTATTGACAAAAGACAGGCAGCTAGTCACGGTTCTCTTTGAAGATTCAGTACACCGCGCTTCGCTCATTGGCTGTAGATAAGTAGATAAATGTGTTGTGACTCCTTCTAAATAACAACTCCCTGGTGTGATCATGTTACTGCTACTGTGCGTAAAGCTAATACCAGGTTACATTTTCCTATACAACTTAGGAGGTTTGGGAAAATGCGCTGCTCCGATATTTCGTTTCGTTCATGCGCCCAGTCGTTGAATACGCCTGTCCAGTCTGGGGTACATGCATCACTGCTGAGCAGTCTAAGTGTTTAGGAAGTATCCAACGTCGTGCTGTTGGAATGATAATTCCATTTACCCCTTACAAGTTAGCATGTGAAATTCTGGAGTTACCAGGGGCGGATTTAGGGGGGGGGGGAAGAAAAAAAGAGAGAAAAAGAAAAAAATGATAGCCTAGAATGCCTCAAATGTTATGTTCGGTCGTCTAGAACACAAAAATTTCGTC